GCCCTTCTGACTCAGTTTCCCACTTTTGTCTGAGGGCCGTGTGGTGTGTGGTGGCCTCGGAGCTCAGACACAGTTGCCCATGACTTAAATTCTGGCCCCTAAAGCCCCACTTCAGTGTTCTTGGTGGAATATCTCATAGCGTCATCAGTTTGATTCTCAGCATGGGTAATAAAAAGACCCCTTCTAGACAAAGACGATGCTTACTTCAGCACCTGCCTCGCTAGAATAGAGTCGTCTTAACTAGCAGTTTGTTGGTTCTGCTGATGTAGATTTTGCTGGGTGAGAAACGCCAGCTCCCTTCCCTGCTGTCTCTTCACAGAGCAGAGCAGCTTGGTTCTTGGGCTGGGCAGCGGGCGGGCCTCATCTCCAACACTCTCTCTGTGGCTTCTAGAAGCTTCTCCAGCCCTCCGTTTCTTCATCTTAAAGTGAGAACCGGGCCTGGAGCTCTAAAGTGTTCGGCGCCATGTTTGGCACAACACAAGCTCTCCGCTAACACTGGCTGTGCTGGGAAAGACGTTGGAATATCTGTCTTCCTCGGCCACCAGTCTTCCCAGCTCCACCAACAGCAGAAAGAGCTCTGGGCGGAGCTGAGGAGCCTTTGACCTTTGTAGCCTGCTCTTCAACCCACTCTGCTGGGTGGCCCAGGGCCATAGCCTTCTCTGGGACAAAGGGACAGTGAGACCCATGATGGCCAGGGCTGCGCGGACCCACAGAGGAGACAGTGGCAGCAGCAGCTCTGGCGACCTTCCCTTGTTTCAGAGCGGCCCACCCTCCTCCAACCTCCTTCCTGCCTCTGCCAGAAAAACGCCTAATCTCCCATCACAGACTTTGGGAACTCGAACAGCTTCCTGAGCTAACTGAGGCAGTGTGGTTGGAAGCGGGTCCCTGCAAGCCCCATCCTGTCGAGAACTTCACCTGCTCGTGGTTCTGCTTGAGGGACAGCAGCTCCTCCTTCAGCGACTCCACCTGTGCCTCCAGGTCGGATCTGCACAGGGTCAGCTCATCCAGGATCCTGCGCAGGCCGTTGATGTCCGACTCCACCAGCTGCCGCAGGGACAGCTC